TTCTGCCTCGGAGGAAACCAGGACACTGCAGAGTTCAGAGGAAGAGCTGAGATTCTAATTCAGCCACCTCCCGACTCTGACACCCCAAGCTATGTCCATGCTATCATGCCCACGTAACAAATAATGATGGCGATGATAACAAAGACAATCAAAGTTCATTCTGCCATTGCTGAGCCTGCTAACAAAAGTGTAATATAGATGCAGCTCACTTCCCTGTGCCTCGACCGAGTGCCCAGGTCTGTGTTTGGCATTTCACAAATATAACAGTACCTATATCCTGCCTTGTAAGAGTGGTAGGAAGACCTGCAATTGATTGCACATGTGCTCAATGCCAGACCCTTGTGATGAGGGTTATACATGTGCCCTTTCTACTCCTCAGAACATCCCTGCAGTGGAAGCTGCACTGACCTCGGGTCTGCAGTCAAGCAAATAGGCTTGCAGGTCAAGGTAACTGGCCCAGGGCTGTGATGCACTAAGAGGCAGTGCAGGGACAGACTCTCCCTAGTTTGGGATATCCATGAGTAGATATAAACACAGGTGTGAATATAAATCAATTGAGAGACAGAGAAAGGAAGGTGTATATATGGCAAAATGCTCAAAATAGTAGTTACTCCTAATGAAGGGTATGTAGGAATTATCTGTATTGTGCTTGCATCTGTATTATACTTTTCTTTAAATCTGAAACTATTTTTTTTAAATAGGAAAATAAACCCTGTGAGTCAAGGCATGAAAGAGCAGAGGGCTGAGTCCACTCTCAGAAGACACTCTCAGTCACTACAAACAACTGAGAACCAATTTCGTTTCTATGCAGCTGTAGAAAAATAAAATTACCTAACATTTATTTAAAGAAAAAGAACTGCAATTAAGCAATGTTTTTTTTTAAAACTATCAATGGAGCATGCATGGTGCAGACTGCCTTGCTGCTTGCTCACCACGACCTAAGGATCAGAAGTGCATTGTAACTTCTGGGTGCGTAGTTCATTCGTTTGCATCTTAGAAAAGGAACTGTTAGTCTTCAATATGTTTAATTGGCACATCTTGCCAAGTTCAGAATTAAAAAAAAGCCATGAATGCATTTAATACTAAAATAAGGTATTACTGAACATTTGATACTTACAAGATTGTAGGTTTTTTTCTATTTTTTTTAGGAATTGGAGATCCCTGTGGAATTCTGCATTTAAAAAAAGTGACCCTTTGCTTGAAATTACATCAAAGAAGTAAACTAAATTTGCCTCAAGAGTGAGGACCATGATGATTATTTAAAAGAAATTATTGGAATATTGATTTGATCCTGTAGGCTGGACTTTATGACATTGCCAGTATTTGAATATTTTTTAACCTAAAAAACTGCATTTTCATGTGGTTCCAACACAGTGTTTCATATTGGTAGGCTATTCTCTTAGTCTATAAGTGGACATACATTAGCACACACCAATGTTATATGATAAAGTTGTACACCTGAAATGTATGTTATTAACCAATGTTATCCCAATAAATTTCCTTTTGTAAAAAAGTGACATTTCAGTCATTTTTTAAGGCAACACTAGATGGCAGTAAATACACAAAAGTTGTAATATGACATTGAGTTACTAGCACAGAGTAATGATCATATTTGCCTTTTACTCAACTATATGCCGCATTAAATCAAGTTTTACCAAAAGAAATAATAATAATAATAATAAAAAATAATAAATAAAAAATAATAAATAAAATTAAAGTTTGCTGGCTTCAGAAATGTGAACCAGAAAAACAATTGAACTGAATATGAGGACACTAGTTCTCAATCAACATCAACATCAGTTATATTTTTCTTAGTTTTCTTAGTTTAAAAAATTCTGATAACATGAATTTCTTTTAAATTTTACCTAATTTGAAGGGAAAATCTTTTAAAATAAAATATCTTTCTTAGTTTAAAAAATTCTGATAACATAAATTTCTTTTAAATTTTACCTAATTTGGAGGGAAAATCTTTTAAAATAAAATATCTTAAGTTACTTTTTACATCAAGATGTTAATGATTTATTTGTTTGTTTCTATTTATTTGTGACTTATTTATTATGGCTTTTTTGAATTAGTAAAAGTTCTACTCTTTCAGGAGCCATGTATGAATATAGGAAAGTACAGCATGCTATTTATGTAATATGCTACTAGCAAAACATTTTTAACTTGATAAACTAACAATTTATCTAGAATGCAGGGGGGAAAATAGGGAATAAATTATAATTTTAAGATTTTTACTCCCCAATTTGAAGACACTGCAGATCAAAGAGAAAACCTTATAAACAGAAACATGTTAATTTGATCCAGTGATGACTCTCATGACTTTTCTATAACATACTAAATTAGAATTTCAGTATGATTTTACAAACATAATAGTAATGAGCAACAAAACTTATATTTTCCAAGTTATTTGTAAACTTTCTACTTTTTGGATTCATTACAAGACCAGATGGCATTCAGCATAGGTCTCAGCAACGCTAGAATAAAATTAGCTAACTTACTAATTTTTTGGATACTTCTAACACTTTCTCTGAGCTTGATTTTGTTCTGACACAGAAAAACCCCAATTTAGAAAACAAAGCGAGGATTCTTTCAAATGTCAATAAAGTAAAAATAAATAAATCTTTAAATACATTAATGGTGGTAGAAGGGGAGGACTTGGTTTAATACCAATCTGTGCCTATATAATTCAATAGTTTTTTCAAAAGTCAGAAAATAAGTTGCTATAGTTACTATAAACATACAACCAAATAGCCAAAACAATCTTAAAAAATTGGGGGTCTCACACTTCCTGATTTAAAAATGTACTACAAATCTATGAAAATCAAAGCAGTGTAGTACTGGCAAAAAGACAGACATTACTTATTTTGTTAACTTGTATATACATTAAATATATACAGCTTTATGTATGTCAATTATACCCCCAATAAAATGCATGAAAAGACAATATAGATATACAGACCAATGGAATAAAATAAAGAGCCCAGAAACAAACCCTCACATATGCGGTTTTTGACAGGGGTGCCAAGACCATTTACTGGGAAAAGGACTATCTTTTCAACAAATGATGCTGGAAAATTGGATAGCTACATGCAGAAGAATGATTTACCTTATATCATATGTAAAAGTTAACTCAAAATAAATCAAAGGTCTAGATTTAAGACCTAAAACTATAAATCTAGAAGAAAACATAGGACAAAATCTGCATGACATTAGATTTGTCAATGATTTCCTAACTATAACACTAAAAACAAAGACAAAAAAAAAAAAGAGAAAGACAGAAAATAGAAAAGTTGGGCTTTTGTGCATCAAAGGATAATATCAACAGAGTGAAAAGGCCACCTTCAGAATAGAAGCAAATATTGCAAATCATATGTCTGATAAGGGGTTAATGTTTATAATATATAAAGAACTCTACAACTCAACAACTAAAAAACAAACAACATAATTTAAAAATGGACAAGGATTTGAATAGACATTTCTCCAAAGAAGGTTTACAAATGAAAACATTTACAATCTATGAAAAGATGCTCAACGGGGTATCTTCTTCTGTAAATGAACTACTGGGTATTCTCATCAATCCCTTGTGAGTCTCATTAGTTTAAGCATAAATCAGTCCCAAAAGTCTAGTTAACCATGATTGTACTACAGGCAAAGACAAATTGCTAGATCTGCAAAGTTAAGGGCCTAATGCTAAATCAAGACGCTACATCATGAGCCTGGCCAGCTGGCCATCCCCTGGCTAAGGGCCCTCTCTGTTTTCATCTCTCACTTCCACAGGTAATAAATCAGCCTTGCAAATAGCTCTCCAAAATCCTATTCAACCCACAAGTCCTAAACAGACTTACTTTTATCTGCCAGAGCCATTCTCTTTCCCCTCCTACACACTGCCATCTAAAACCATTCTCTAACACAAATATTCTACATATAGCATCTATCACAAGCACAGATTTCTATCAAATATGCTAAAAGAGCAAAATAGAGCAAAGCAGACTGTATTTCTTCAGCCACTACTGGAAATGTACAAGTGCACATTTGAATATACAAATGAATTCCAGGATTTCATTTTTTTTTTTTTTTCTGGTCAGCCCTAAGTCCTGAGACCTTAGGTATATGAATCACGACTTTATGTTCCTGCAAAGTTTGCTTTAACAAATTTTCACCACTCTCGTATGTTTTAAATTTCTACAACTAGAAGGTCACAATATTCCTGAGAACTAAAATCACTGGTAACAAAAAGTTGCCTGCAAATTCTTGTTTGTGATTGGTAAGTGCTTTGATTTTTTAAGACGGTCCAGCAATCCATAGTCAGAAACATAATTAAATGGTTTCTAAGCAGTACAGAGACAGCCAGCTTGTGCTTTGTATATGAAACTAAGAGTCCTCCTACACATGACAGCATGCTTTGGAGTTTTAGAATGTTTCACAATGGGCTCCAAACCTGAGACTTAAACATGAATTTTTCTCAAAAAATATTTTCTTTGGATTTGTTTGAGAAAGTAGAAGTGACAAAGCCCTAGGTTAGACTTAAAAAAAGAAAAAAAAGGAGAAAAAAAAAACCACCATATTAAACCTACAGAATTCTATCTCTAATAAAAAAGGGTAATATGCTAATTAGACCTGACGTCATTCCTAACATCCTTCTGGATGAAGCCCGGTGGCCAGAGGGAAGCCAGTGCCAGCAGCCAGAGGAAGGAAGGCCTGGGCTTGCAGGAATTCTCGTGCATCGGGCCTCGAGTTTCAAATAAGATTTATCTACTCAGCCCTGACCGGGCAGGGAAAGTCACTTCCCTGTGTGCGCCGTGGTGACCGTTTTTCAATCCCCGGTGATCACCAGGAATGCACAGCCTCAGACTCCTGTCTTCCCGTCACCTGAACGGCGTGGCTTTCATACCAGTAAATGCATGTGGCTAAATTGCCAGCCAGAGGCATCACTGCTTTGGAATGACAGAGGCATCTGATGTAGAAACGATTTGGAGAAGAGTTAAGCTCTCACTTACCTCCACTGCGACTACAATCAAAACGAGGTCTGTCTTTGACTCCGGAAACAATGCATCCACTTGCGGCGACATTCCAATCAGAGCACAGTTAGTGACCACGGAGATCACACTCATTGTTTCAAAAGCCAACTGAAAGAAAACGAACAAGAAATTAAAACTGCTTTCTTGTCTTATTATGAGTTACCTAAACATTTTCTGATATTCCATTTTGATTTATCTGTGTTTTTGAATATATGTTTTATATAGTTTTCTAGGGGTTGCTCTAAGTATGTGTGTGTGTGTGTATATATATATATATATATATATATATATCATACACACGTATATATAGTTACATTATATTTTATATGTGTATGATATATATATATATACATTTTTTTTTACTTGTGTTGTTATTTATCAGCTCGAGTAAAATATAGAAATCTTACCTCCCTTTACCATTCCTTATCCTATATAATAAAAGGCTAATATGCAAATTGTTCCCTTGATCAGAAGTTCAACCAGGGGGCTGTGAACTGCCTGTGCCCCCCCCCAGGCTGATCCCACCCCTGATTGCCTCCCCCCAAACCCGATCAGGGCAGGCCAGCCAGCACCAGCCATGCACGAATTTGTGCACCAGGCTTCTAGTTTGTAATATAATTGCCTAAATATGTTCTCTCTATATAGTATTTAGAATCATTAGATAGCTTTGTATTTTTTTGTTTCAACTCTCAAACGTAACTTTAAAGACTCAAGAAGAGAAGGAAAATCTATTGAATTGACTTGTATTTTTGCTTAGCAAGTTTATTTCTTCCTAATGTCTCCAGAGTCCTACTTTTATAATTTCCTTAGTTTTGAGAACTTTCAGTCCTACTTGTAGGATAGGTCCCCTGACAATAAAAAACCTCTTATTGGTTTCCTTTCATCTGAGAGTGTCTGGCCCTCTCCTTTGCTCCTAAAGAATGCTTTCTGTGAATGTAAGATTCTGCATTTGGAAAGTACTGTGCCACTTCCTTCTGACACTGCAGTGGGGAGGGCCCCGTTATGTAAGGGAAGGCCCCGCTGGCTACTCTCCTAGAAAATTGTCCAAGTTTTACACCTGAAAGGAGTCATAAAGATCATATTTTACCTTCCTCACCCCTGCCTCCAATTTTAAAAATAAGAAAGGCAAGGCCCAGAGGAAGTTAACGGCTACTGAAGTCACACAGCTATTTGGTGGCCGAGCGAGAATGAAATCCGTTTCCCCGAATCTCTTCTTTGGGCTCATTGTTTTAAATCACAATGCCTCGTTCTGTTACTTCTTTTAAAGGAATATTTTTTTTTCCCTCAAATAATTACCTGCCACACACCAATACTGGCCGAAGGCTCTGCGAATGGACGTTTGAAGACTCTGCACATTTTTAAGGCGTCGGAATTAACTTCGGTGAAGTTGTTTAGCACAGCGAAGGCCGCTGCTAGCGGGTAAACACAGGAGAAAAGGCTCACGTAGCCAAACTGCAGCAAGAGCTCCAGGTAGTCATCGAAGGTGCCCTGGAATTGTGAGCCACAAGGAGAAAACAGGCTTTGTTTTAATACCGTCTAATAAGAATAACTTTGGTGGGTTTGGCTCAGGGAATAGAGCATTGACCTGGGGACTGAAGCGTCCTGGGTTTGATTCTGGACAAGGGTATGTGCTGGGTTGCGGGCTTGATACTCAGTAAGGGGCGTGCAGAAGGCAGCTGATCAAGATTCTCTCTCATTGTTGATGTTTCTATCTCTCTCTCCCTTTCCCTTCCTCTCTGAAAAAAAAAAAATTAAAAATTAAAAACAAAATCTTATAGGATGGCCCCTCACAGTATGGGCACCCCAGAACTCTAGTTCCTCACCTTCCAAAGGAAAAACTAATAGTGTGATGCCAGTAAAAAGGATAGAGTAAGGACCTCCAGAAGTTGGCCCCTCCAAACAAACAAAAAGGGCAAAAGTTGTCAGAATCTACTTTTTCAGTCTTGTTAAATTAACCCACGGCTAGTAGCAACTCAGGCAGCACTGAGTAAAGAAAAACAGCTCAACCTTGTGCATTTAAATTCACTCGAGATTCACCTCCTGCTCCCAGGTCCACAGCAGCCGTAAAAGTAACAACAGGCACGCCCAGGGGCACAGGGTGCAGAGGGGCTGGAGGTCTCACAAAGCCTCGCTCCAAAGAGAAGTCACCACCCGGTGTGGACAGTGGGACCTTCTGGGATCTGCTCAGAAGGCTCATCTTTATTCAGCCTCACTGAGTGCCCCCTCCCCCAGTGCTACAGGCTTCTCCCGTGGGCGGTGGAGGTGATGAAAGATTATTTGACTTTGGGTGGTGGGCACACAGTGAAATATATAGATCTTGTAACCTAGAAATCCACATCTTAAACCTATATGACCCTATTAACTAAAATCACTTCAGTAAATTTAATTTTTTTTAAAAAAAGATGATTATGGGCTTCTTTGGGAGATGATGAAAAAGTTCTGGAATTAGATAGTGGTGACGGCTACACATCTTATGAACTTATTTTAAAAAAATCTAAAATGTACATTTTAAAATAGTGAATTTTGTGGTATTAGACATTTATCTCAATTCTATTAAAAGGAAAGGAAAACAAAGCTGATAGGACAAGGAAACTCCCCAGAGCCACCCTAAGGAAAGTGATATATTCATCAAAGAGGCCAGAGAAAGGAGTCCACAGCAGAAAATAAGGAGACCACGGAAGCATGGAGAATCCCTCTGAAACCAGGTTTAAAAACCTTTCCGCTATGTTTGTAAAGGTTTAGACTAGTGGTGGGCAAACTCATTAGTCAACAGAGCCAAATATCAACAGTACAACGATTGACATTTCTTTGGAGAGCCAAATTATTTAAACTTAAACTTCTTCTAACGCCACTTCTTCAAAATAGACTCGCCCAGGCCGTGGTATTCTGTGGAAGAGCCACCCTCAAGGGGCCAAAGAGCCACACATGACTCGTAAGCTGCAGTTTGCCGACCACGAGTTTAGTCCAAAGGAGGAGGGGGCAATAGTCGTTGTGTACCCTCAACAACTAGAGATACTAACAGTTCGGAGTGAGTTATTCAATGATCTTTACTAACTGGACAATGAAGGCCTCACTGAAGCAGGATGCTTAAGCACTGAGTTGTCACCTGAGTAACACCGCCACCTCTCACTGGACTCAGGGACGCTAGATGCCTGTTCACAATCACATTTACTCTGACCCGAGGGAAGCTGAGCACTGCTTTATGCTGTGTCATAATTGCCATGTCGCCTAAGGCCGCACTCCAGACCTCCCCATGATCCCCCTATGCACACGCAATGACAACTTGGGTTTAAGAAAAATACTCATCATGATATTTTAAAGCAATATTAAACATGGATATTGTGAAATGAATCATTATTATTACTGCATCTCAGAGTCCGTCTTTCTCCAAGACATGCAATTAGTCTCCGGAGCTGAGAGCTTTAGTATAAGTCAGATTCTACTTCTAGTCAGTTTCTATTCGTATTTTATATTTTGCCGAAATAGAGAATTTCCTAACTTAGTTATAGAGTTAGATGCTCTGGCTACTTGGATGAAGCACGGGCCCAGGGATTTCAAGTGAGTCTCTCTGGCAGTTTCCAAGGCTCGCCAAAGAGCAGCACCGAGCACATGTATGTTGGGAGCTGGCCGGTGGATGCTCAGCTGGGGATTCAGCGGCGAGCAATTTCTAAACTGCTCTTTGGTTGCCTTTGGCTCCAGGAAGCATTTCCTTACGTTGTGTTGCAGCATACAGATGTGGCTTTAAAATATGCCCAGTGATATAGCATTGATCTAATTCTCTGAAGAGTGAAGTAATCAAGAGTGGGGAAAGAGTAAAAATCTTAGCAATCAAGCCGGTTTTACCACAATTCGGTCTTAAGAAACCATCATAGCCTATGCTCAGCTTTCAAAATTGTGCTGGTTTGGCTCAGAAAGTAAAAGGTTGAGCCTCTGCAGAGACGTGCAGATAATGTCTCTCAGATGTGCCGCGGGGCAGCCCAGCAGTCATGCCAAGCTCTGCCTGGCATTGTTAGCATATGAGATGTAGTGAGCAGGAGTGGGGAGGTGGGTAGAGGAGGGAGAGAAAGAGAGAGAATAAATTCCTACTCCAGATGAACATACAAACTAAAATTCTTAAGCATATGAGAAAAAAACTAAGTAAGAAAGTTAGTTCAATTATCAGGAGATGAATTCATTCATGATGAAAAACAAGACTATGGAAGCTGAATGGCAGTGGGCTCTCACCAAAGGCTCTATTGCACTAAGAAGACTATACCATACCAAGAAGGTAGGTGCAAGATATAAGAAATAATGACCTAAAGCAAATGTGACCCCAACACCAGCCCCCACTACAGAAGTGGTGAATGTAGTCAGAGCTCAATAAAAATACACTAAATACATGGTTAGGTTTTATGACTTCCAATGATAGTTCCTAAAAAATTTCAGACTTCTTAGGAACTATTTTATTTTTACAGTAGCACTCAGTAACTTAAACTATAAATTAATCTTCATTTTTAGTGATGGTCTTCAATATTTTCTTTTGTTTAAAAAAATTTTTTTTTAAGTTTTTCAATTACAGTTTACATATTTTTTTGTATTAGTTTCAAGTGTGCAGCACAGTGGTTAGACAACCACATACTTTACAAAGTTCCCTCCGATATTTCCAGAACCCACATTCAATCTTTTCTTTGCATCTGAAGAGAGCCAAGCTTCTGGCCCCATAGCCGTCTCACCCCCTGCCCCACCGGCTCTGGCTGCTGTTCCCAGCACCTCGGAGAGCACTCACGGGGTTCCCCAAGCTCATCCTCTGTGTTTTAGCCATAACTTCAGATTCAGGACAGTAGCCCTTTCCTAGCTGGACAGCACTGAGCTGAGACCATGAGTGCTTACTTGTGTGTATGTACGTGGTACGTGACTGTTATGCACATTGAGTCAATGCGAAACTCAACCAGATGCAAGCTTACCAAATACGTGCCCATTTCCTTTTCCAGGATGACCTGTTCGTACAACGTGGCATCGATGTCAGCCTTCAGAGCCTGCACTTTCTTCTTCACCTGCACGTGGTGCTTCCTCTGGAGCCAATAAGGCAGCAGAGACTCCACAACCTGGTTCAGGATCTGGGACATGATCAGGAGCGTGGCCAGGCTCTGAGGAGAAGCACATACATGTTTGCCAGTGTGGGTTAGTAAAACCATCCTATGTGCACAATCATGCAAAGAAAATGGCCATTTTCAACAAATAGTATGCTCTTGTTGTAAAAGCTAGTTTCAGAAAAGTCAGGTGTTGGAATGATGTTTCTAATCTGTGTTTATTTTTCAGCAGGGAAGACTTAGATTCAAATACAAAAAGATTATAATACAAATAGTATTATAATAAAAAATAAACCAGTTATGAATCAGTAGAACAAATTTCCTTAGATTTTGTTGTTGTTGCTGTTGTTATATCATCCTGGACACAAAATTTGAATATCTTAATGATGTTGCCAATTTTGGAAAAATAATAGTTTTGCAACAACATTAAGAATATTATCAAATGAATACATCCCTCATCCACTGTAAAAAAAATAAATAAATAAATAAACCTTAGAAAATGAAAAATAAAAAGTCACCCATGATTCCACAAACAGGACAGAACCACTGCTAACATCTTGGACATTTCCAATCATATGTAGAAATTAAAGTAGAATAATCAGCCATATACTATATATACAGCTTTGTATTGTTTTTCCCCCTCTCATTACATATTGTAAGCACTTTCCTGTGACAATAAAAATTCTTTCTTTATGTAGCCCAGGCACTGTTGTTGAATGCAGGTGTTGTTCCCAACCTGAACTACCACAAATGCTGTTCTTTGGGTACCTGCACATATGAATCTTCACCCACCTCTGATGACTTATTAGAGATGAGTTAAGGCTCTATTGTACTAAGAAGACTATACCACACCAGAGGTGGTGTGTCAATTTCTACTCTCACCAGATGGATACCAGTGTTCCCATCACACAACCTCTTTGCTGATATTAGAATTCTATTTTTTAAAGAATCCTCTCCCATCCGTCTGTCCCCTGTTATGTGAAGGAGACTCTCTCTACAGTGTAAGAAATGTGAAGTCACACCCCACTAACTCTGGAGGTGGGACTGGGGAGGGTATGTGCATCCAACTACTTTTTCCATTTTCAAAAATAACTTTTAAAAAGTAGCAATATGTAGAGTGCAATTCTTAAGGGCACAACATTTAACTTACTTTTATGCAAGCTGTTAGGACCATAACTATTAATACAAAATACTAAACTTTCTCTGTTATATGATTTTTTTTTTAATTTCCTGACAAATGATCCCAAGTTCTCATATAAATACCAAGAAGTCACAGGACATTGACACCAGGAGAGAGCAGCCCTCCCAGCAGCTGACTCAAACATACACAGTATTAAATATATGTCAGACGTTCTTAACATTTCAGAAAAGGATCTGCTTGTCTCTAACGTACAACCACCTATAATTTAAAAGTGAAATGTATCAGACCTATGTAAGGCTACACCAATCAACCCCACCCTGAGACACACACAGAAGTTTAAAAAATATGTTTTGTTAGAACTGTTCTTACAATTCTATACAGATACAAATATATAGGAACTACGTGTTCTATTTTACTGCCCTATACCATTAATTTTACAAGTTGGTTAGCTTCCATTATTTTCTTTTCAGTTGAGTACACTACACGGTCCTATTGGGTTTTCTGTTTTTAATTAGAACTGGGCTTAGAAACAGACAAAATTGAAAAGGTTTTATTTGTAAAAGTAAGAATGGGAAGCAACTGCATTGCCTGGCTACAAGAAACCGCCTCTAAGGCCTGAAGAATGGATACCTTCTGCCACTCACACTCACCTGACGTAAGAGCTTCATGTCCTTCAGGACGAAGGCGATGTAGAAGAGTGAGGCAAAGCAATTCAGAAAGTTGAACTGGCAAAAAAAAAATGGTAATAACATTTAGTGTTGCTTCCCAGTACTTTACATTTACTAGTACAACTGTAAGCACTACACTTAAAAACTCAATGAGAGACTTCCAGCCCTGTTCTTCCTCCTCCTCCTCCTCCTCCTCCTCCTCCTCCTCCTCCTCAGTGGGCAGTCTATAAACCCTGCACATGATGCAGGAGGCACCCAGAGGAGACCCAGAGGCCGGGAACCGGCTGGGGAATAACCCAGGACCGGGTGATAACACAGCACCAGTGCAGCGGATGCTCCTGTTTCTACTCTGTTCTTACAAGAGGGAGACCAAGGCCCACCATTCCCCATCCCCAACCTGGCAACCCAGGTAGCCCAGGCGGGTTCATTCCCCACTCACCCACTTAGAAGCTTGAAAACAGCAGATGAACCAAGAGAAACTATTGGGATCCCCACTCACAATGAGTAGCCAGGGGCTACGCTCTCCTTCCCTCCTTCCTGCAGGCCCCCCATTGCCTTCCCCGAGAAGGTTTGTGAGGATGGCTGGGCAGCACCAGCAAGAAGGACTGCCAACCCCTCCACCATAAGTAGCCCAGCCCCAGAAGCCTCCTTGTACCCACGGACCTGAGACTCCTCACCGTGAAGAGGAGATGCCTAGGTAGATGAGTGGCACCAACAAGAGAGACCAGCTGTAACAACCAGCCGAGTGCGGGAGGCATCTTTGTCACCACACGCCTGAGACGCCCCTGCCCTGCTCAGAGAGTTCCGGGCTGGGGATCCCCCATAACACGTGCCATTTCTTCACGCAGTTCTCCTCCTCAAGAATCTGCAACCACACCCTGCACCGATGGGTTTCCTCTCTGCCTCCAGCCTCATGCTGGCTACTTCCTGAGACAAGACTGCTTTGGGTATGGCTGCGGGCACTTCGTTAGTGAGGGAACAGGGAGTCACTGCAGAGAGTCAGCAATAAGATCAATGCAGCCAGGGGAGGAGTGAGGGCTAAGTCAGAGTGGGAGGTGGAAAGCGAAAGCCTGGGAAAGTGGGAAATGCTCTCCCCTAAGATTACAAAGGAAGGGAGAGACCCAGGGAACACAAGCAGATCCTGACATGTGAGTCTTTTCACAAGGCAGTCAGTCACCTGTCAACGTATCTGAACTGTCAGAGAATAATAAAGTCCCACAAGTAACTGAATTCTTCAAGCCAAATGGAGCGTTTTTACCTCTAAGGGCAAAGGCTCCAGGTTAAAATCAATTTGAATGATCTTTTTAATGCATTCCCTGTTCCCCTGAATCTTACACAGAGAACAGAGAAGGTAACTTCCTTGCTGATTTGGCATCAATATGTTGAATATCAATTACTTTGTGGGGCTAGAATGAGCCTTTTTAGATATGCACAAATGTCCAAATTGCTACACCACTAAATTATGAGCACCTATTATGACAGGTTTTCTATTTCCAAGCGCCCTCTTGCCTCTATAAATTTACCTACTTCCAGAAACCCAAACACCTTCCCAATGGTAGTTTCTGATCTTTTAAGGGCTGAAAAACCAGATAAAGAGGCTTTTCAAAATGATTTCTACAGCTAAACAAAGACTTTTTCTCAGTGGGGGCCTCGATCTCTGCCTTGGAGAGTCAAGTACATGAACTGTGTTAAATCAGTTACAGCAAGTTCGGAGGACTCCACGCACCTGTCTTGATTCTCAGTTATGGTACAGATGCCTCCTGATAAGTGAGGTGCTTTCAAGCCGGCACATCTTTGTTGTTTATAATGATGGCGGAGAGAGGCAGAATGTGTGAGCTTTTACACAACCCACAAGCAAGTTACACAGTGCCTACTCTCCATTTCTCTCCTTCTGCCCATCAGAACATGCTGGGAACCTCCTCAACTCTCAGCATCCTTCACCAAAATTAATTGAAAAATAATTTAACGTTCTATCACTAAATGAACTGTGTATAACTGCAGCGATTGTTGAATGGTGAAGCATTCAAAGAAGTCGCCAAAGAGAAGGGAAACATGATTATAAAGTAGATAATTAGCTTTTTACATAAATAGAAATGGGCTATACACAAATTTCTACATTTGAAGCCTTAAACCACATGCACATTTAGAAGACTGCTAGCAGCTTACTCCCTCTCGCAGTCCAGGACCCCTCGGGGGATGTCCGCCTGTTGGCTTAGGCCCAGGAGGGGTCCTTAGCACTGCTGCAGAGGAGGTGGGAGAGGCTCCTGGCATGGCCGCTGCATTGCCAGCCATGAGCCCAGCTTCTGTCTGACCACCAAGGGGCAGCTCCTGCATTGAGCATCTGCCCCTTGGTGGTCAGTGTGCATCATAGCGACCAGTGGTTTTGCCGTTCAGTCGACTTGCATATTAGAATTTTATCATATAGGCTTGAGTGTAGATATAAACACACCCATTAATCAATCCTTGTCTACTTGCTCAAAATACATTAACTATCTGGTATCTTGAAATTAGAAGCAAGTCTTCATATTTATATTCCTAAATGTTAACACGTTAAGCGCCCTGTCAGTCGCCGGTGACTATCACTATACTTTCCGTCCGGAAGACAAAACAGGCTGGGTGCTTGATGTGTTACATGGTATTCTTTAATTTCATAATTAAAATGATTGTGTATATGAAAACTCTACTTACCACTAAAACTTTCAAAATTAGATGATTCTGGTAGGCAGACTCCAATCTGTGATTCTCTAAAACATCAAAAGGAGAGGTCATTTCTCTCAGATAAGTTAGCAGCAGGGAGCTCTGTGGCGAGGTGAGACCTGCACTGTGGGCAGGATGTCAACTACCGAGCCTCAGTTAGTAAATGCAGTATGCTGTCAATCATGCCTACTGCTCACCACTAGGAGCATCCGACAAGGAAGAAACCAAGGTTAAGACACATTTGGGGGGCTACCACAGTATCCCTGCAGTCTGAAACTATTTTTCAATCTTACTGCTACAAAGAAATGTGGGATGTGTTGGCAAATGACCCCATAGACAGATACCCAGAGAAAGACCCCGGATAAGTGGGGATGGTGAAGCTGATAGCAACCTCTAAAGCAGGGGTGGGGAACGTCCAGCCCACAGGCCATAGATGGCCCTCAAAATCATTTGGTCTGGCCCTGCCAAGAAATTAGGGGTGAGCTAATTAAATGTTTGAGCAAATACAGCAGGCTAATTTTTTAAAATATATTTTTATTGATTTCAGAGAGGAAGGGAGAGGGAGAGAGAGATGGAAACATCAATGATGAGAGAGAATTGTTGATTGGCTGCCTCCTGCATGCTCCTACTGGGGATAGAGCGCACAGCCCTGGCATGTGCCCTTGACTGAAGTTGAGCCGGGACCCTTCAGTCCGAAGGCCAATGTTCTATCCACTGAGCCAAACCAGCTAGGGCCAGGCTAATTTTTAAGTTGATATTTTTATGGCCCTCAAATGTTATAAATATCCAAATGGCCCTAGGCAGAAAAAAGGTTCCTCACCCCTGCCTAAGGAGAAGGGCAATAAAGAAAGTTTTTTTCCAGTGTGTGTGGTTTGAAAGGCTTAGCTTAAAGGGCAACTCAAATTTCTATCCTCAGCCAGGAAGAGGGGACACAGTGCAGGTCCTGGAACAGCCGGACAGAAGAACAAAGGAAGGTTCCGCTGAGAAGTGTCACCGTGCACGGAGAGGTAGTGTTAGGCTGACCTGGATTGGAAACCCAACCCAGCCACTCAGCCACTGTCTGACATGGGCAAGTCACATGACCTGGGGCACTCAGCCTCCTTGTCTACAAAACAGAGCGGACACCACCCTCCTCCCAGGGTCACTGTCAGGGTTAGAAAGAATACACACGCTTAGCCCAGTATCAGCAAAGAAGACCACTCACTAAATGGTAGCAGCTGCCGTTACATGGCTATCAAAAGTAATTTAAAATATCTTCATGGTTGCTGAAACCGGTTTGGCTCAGTGGATAGAGTGTCGGTCTCTGAACTGAAAGGTCCCAGGTTCGATTCCGGTCAAGGGCATGTACATTGGTTGAGGGCACATCCCCGGAAGGGGGTGTGCAGGAGGCAGCTGGTCGATGTTTCTCTCTCATCTATGTGTCTAGCTATCTATCCTCTCCCTTCCTCTTTGTAAAAAATCAATAAAATATATTTTAAAAAATATCTTTATGGTTAAGGTCTAGATTCTTCCTAGGAAATAATAACATGTTTGCTTGTTTGAATGAATAAGTAAATGAGAGACTGAAGGGCCTAATGAGGCTGTTTTTAACCTGTAAGCAGGTTCCTCTCTTACCGCAGACACACATGAACACCTCACTGAGTTCAATGGCAGCGCTCCGTGCCCGGCATGAGACTAGACAGCTGGTTTTCAGATACTTAGACAAAGTTCATCCGTCCAGAGTTTCAGGAAGATAATCCAATCTACTTTCCCTTTAGCATAAAACCCAGCGGCTTAGTACCAGGAGCACAAGTTTAGAACAGAGAGGTGTGGATTAGCCTGGCTCTACCATCTGTTGTCTGAACCTTGTGACGTCTCAGTACGTTTATCCATAAAATGGTGAGACGTGTCTTTCACGTGTCCTGAGGAGATGAGAATGGTGAAATGTGTCTTTCACGGGTGCTGAGGAGGTTAGGAGTAACTAACACTCAATGTATGAGAGCTGCGATGACCATTACCTGGAGATTACTGAAGATCACTGGAGCTCACAGAGCCCAGCACTTCTCCTCACGACTCTATAAGGAGCCCCGAGCAGCATCCATCTGCTTTGCAAGGTAGCAGTTATCTGAATCCCATGAAGGAAGCAATATTTCTTACTGACGCGTGAGATAAAAATAAAACACCAAGTCTTACCCCACGAAGTTAAAAACTCGGCAGCATAGCGATAGAGGCGGTTCATGATCTCAATCACGATGGCGTAGATGATGCTGGGCACATACAACAGGACACTGGTCCACTCGGACCCGCTGTTCTCGTGGACACCCAAGGCCCAGGCCTCCATGTCGAAGTAAATCATCATGATGTACAGAGAGAAGTAGAGACAGAGGCACACGAACGGCAGAGAGACCAGGTAGATGCGCAGCTGCCTCTTGTAGCTGGGGTAGAGAGGTTCCTCCCTGCCCGTGACCGAATTGATGCCCAGGACCCCGTGGAATCCTGGCCGGGGCTCCTCGAACTGTCTCTTCATGACCAGGGTCCCCCACCTGTAGGTCATGCTGGCACAGGCACGCTTCCACACTTCCAGGATCACTGTGGACCAGATCAGGTTGAAGGAGGCGAAAATCACATACTTGTCATAGTCTTCCCACACAAACAAGTAGTAAGGCAGCCCAATGACCGCCATGGGGATTAAGGCAAAAGTAAAATACTCCAAAAATCCAAAGTAAAGAGCGATGGTTTCCCCAAAGTAGCCACGGATACCATCTGTAATAAAAGGAAAAAGGAGAAGAAGAAGAAGAAGAAGAAGAAGAAGAAGAAGAAGAAGAAGAAGAAGAAGAAGAAGAAGAAGAAGAACTTAATTACAGACTACCAAAGACTTTCTTTTCTTATCTTTTCAACTAAGCTGACTCATTTCTTTAGTTAAGTGGGGCTCACATAATACCATAATTTCCCAATCAGTGTGTGATGCTAAACCCATCCGCCTGCTAAACCAGTACAAAGACCCCATTTATCTGTATTGTATGCCTGACACTTCCCCCGGCTCAGGGCCAGGCTCTGCCAGGCACCCCGCATCTACTTCCTCTTTATTTCCTCATCTGATGGAAGCTTCTTCCCAAAGGCAAAAATCACCAAGGGGTTTGTCCCAAATCTCCAAGGTCCTCAATTCAATTCGGCCATGGCCAATAAAACATTTAAACTTGCACTCCCCTTTTAATTTATGCTTTTCTCCACTTTTCTCCGACTTTAAAACTGTAGTCACACATGTTCTTTTCAAAAAGACTCCCCACCCATGGTATCCTGTTCCCCCTACCTAAAGATATAAACTTTCACTCATGTGTCATGGCAAATCTTTCAATACATTAAAGGAAAATTAATCAAAAGCGCAAAGCAATGTTCTACATACTGACTCCTAGAACATTAGCCACACCTTCTTCTGAGCACCAGGAAGAAGAAGGCCCAAGCAACATCACCGTTAATATTCTGTGAATTGGACACAAGCTGTCCAATCCAAGAGAGGCCACTGTGTCCTTTGTCAGCCGCAGCCACGTGGGTGAGCGTGTGGACTGTACAAGCATCTGCCCCGGGACCGGGTGGGATGCCACGGGTGGGGGAGGTGCAGCAGTTGAAGTTATTTCTAGCTCAATTACACATAGTTAACATGTAATTTTCTTAAGGTCATATGTCAGATCAGTCTATGGTTGTGGGTTAGAATAAACTGAGATCAGCTATTTTCTCTTATCCTTATTTTTTTCTCGCTAACCTAGGTGGCATTTATTGCCAGTTAAACGCCAACATTTATAAACAGTGGGTGTGTGAGGTTGCCTCAGTCTGAATCAGGTTAAAATCAGAAGCCATGTGGAAAAAAAAAAAAAAAAAAAAAAAAAAAGGTGTTCATGGTCCTGGGCTCCAAATCACATGATCATCCTCTTTTGATCTCAAGGAGGAAGTTCAATATCCGCCTGTGCCCCAGGTACAATCACCAGTCCCAGCACCCCAGAGGCCTCAGACCCCTCACCTCAGCCAGGCTCAGCCTTCACCATCAACTCCTTCTCTCCTCTTACTTTCTAAAATGTAGCTAATAAATACTTCACTACCAAGACTTAGAAGCAATTTTTAAATTCACCGCCACCTAACTGCCAAAATTTTTAAAATGTCATAGTGTACCATGAAATGACTACTGTGTCACCGGGAACTATCAAAAACAAAACTATTCCTTTCAAAGGCTACCAAAAATTTATTCAGAATACAATTTCAAAATGTAATCTGAAAAACAATTTTTGTTCAGTTATGATATTGTAATAGTTGTTTTCAGAATGGAAATTAAAAAAAAAATCATTTTAGAGGGATTCCCTTAAATAAAATCAAAAGAGAAATATCCTTTAAGGAAAAACTGATAGTAAGGAATACGGTACAATCTACCAGCTTAAATATAATTTTATACTTAAAAAAATCTAAACCCCAAAATTCAGACATCTGTATTAAATAAGTTTATTTATACAAAATAGGTTCAACACACACCAAATAAATTCACGGTTATTATTATCACTGTATTCCGAGAAAATGGATCGACAACAGCAATATGTACTATACTTATAAATCCACCTCCTTAGATATTTAGGCCCACAAGTCGGCACCTAAGAATGAGCATAATTTGACTAACTCCAAATGACTAGCTCTAAAGAAACTGAAATTTTTAAATACAAAATATTCACAAACTCAGTTCTCATAGAACCCAACTCTGACATACGCTCTCAAAGGACACTCTGAGCTGCCTGTTTTGGTGACATTGAGAGAAAGCCTGTAATTCAGTCCATCTAAAATCATATTAGAAATAAATAAACAGGTCATTAGCCCCTCCTACTCCCCTGCCCCCTGTTTTCCCAGCATGCAGCTGGTGAGCCCTGCCTCGTGAGTCCCAGTGGGATGACACCACTGCTGAAGGCCGGCTTTTCGTTGGTAGGTCTTCCTCTCTCTGCGGGAACGGGCATGGGCACGTACCTATGGGCTGATACTTTAGATTAAACCCTGTGTACCACGAGTCCTCCAGCTTCTTCAGGGCCTCGTTGTCATGCAGTGGAAACACCTGGATCACGATGCCAGACGTGAGCAGTCTTCTCACTGCGGAGGGAAAGGTGCCAAACAACATAGAATGAATTTGCGATGGCTCATGACACTCTCCATGTGGTGCTGCGAAGCCACTCGGGTCAGTGAGGAGTGCTCCGCAGAGAGCAAGCGCGCACCGCCTCCCGCACAGGCACAGACTCCTTTTGTTCTCCAGAACGGCACTATCGGGACTATTTCCTTTGACTATGAAAGCAATACAAGTCGATGTAAAATTTTAAACCATACAGAAATGTACAAATCAGAATGAGATGCCCAAAATAACCACTTCCTCCCCCCCAAAACAACCACTGTAAATAGCAATTTAGTGTACAAGCAGATTTCAAAAAATATATGTATATATACACACACACACATATGTACAAATATGTATATGTACATTTATATATTGATATTGATACGTATAAATGGGATGATTCTATACGCATTGTTTGGTAATCTTTTCTCATTTAGTAAATATAACAAAATAAAACCCTAATATGCAAATCGACTGAACAGCAGAACGACTGTCTGCTACGATGTGCACTGACCACGAGGGGGCAGATGCTCAACACAGGAGCTGTCCTTTGGTAGTCAGTGCCTCCCACAGGGGGAGCACCGCTCAGCCAGAAGCCAGGCTCATGGCTGGAGAGCCCAGTGGCAGTGGTGGGAGCCTCTCCCGCCTCTGCAGCAGCACTAAGAATGTCCAACTGCCACCTAAGCCATCAGTCAGACTTCCCCCGAGAGCTCCCAGACTGTGAGAGGGTGCAGGCAGGGCTGAGGGACCTCCCTACTCTCCCCCCCCCCCCCCCCAGTGCACAAATTTTGTGCACCAGGTCTGTAGTTACTACAAAGGAGGACAAAGAGGCAGTGTGTTCTTAGGACATAGGTCCTCTCATAAAATCCCCAGATTTACTAATTTAAAAGTAAACCTAACTTCTTAGAAATAAAAGAAAGGATAACAATAAAAAGGAGATATCTGATACTAAAAAGTCTGGGTCTAAAAAAGTCTTAATTATGGTTCTTCATTCAATTGTTTCTCATGCAAGCTATAAAGAAGACCAGTTTTTAAAAGGTAGGGTTGTAATGATATCCTCCTTAGTGATTGGAAAAGGTATAAGCTTGAAGTTAAGTGAGTCTTTGGTGCTATCCAACCCACCTTTAAATATTTTTATTCTAAAGAGTTTCTGTGGACTTTTTTCTTAGATAATATTAGTGAAAGTTGATCTGTTCTGATTCTTCTCTCGTTCTTGGGGACGCACAACTATAGCATATTCATTCTTCCTGTTATTATCCTTTTCAGTTACTACATCAATTTTTTTTTATCTTTGAACTGATCTACAGCATCTAAATTATTATCTAATTATTTCTAAGTTCTTTTTCTTTTTAAATGACTCCGTTCTACTGTAGAAGACTTCCCAGCCAGACATAAAAACCAGCTTGAATACTTCTAAAAATAGGGCTGTGAAGAGACTATAAAGCCACAGGTCCTAAATTATTGGGCTTCTCGTCACCATCAACGCCAAAAACATGGTTCTGGTTTCAGCTTCTAAAAATAGAGGGTTTTAAAAAAAATCCTTCAATCTTGTGATGTCAGCTAAAAATGTAATTAACACGAGCCTTACCTTCAAAGGAAAATATGATGCTCTTCGGGCCTATTTATAGAAAGGAACAACTTCAACCAGGATTCCTTCCTTCAAGTAGGCTGAAGGATCCCTTGTCAAGCACTAGGGTTTTTCCTGTTACAGCCCTTTAACAATGAGCTAAACAACGCAAAATCTGATTGAAGGGGGACTATCAGTAACCTGGCTTACAACCAAACCCTCTAAATTAAAGAAGGCAATAACAATGCTAACAGTACTGCTTCTGCCTTTGGCTATGTGACGTGCTTAGTTCAAAAGTAAAAACAGAAATCTCTCTCGCCCTCCTCACTGTGTGTCTGTGCAACAGGGAGGGGCAGGGTGTGCTGCCTGGAACCAGCCTCAGCAGAGTGAGGAGCACACAGAGTCCCCACAGGGAGAGAAGGCCCGCAGCAATGGGGCCCTCTGCACCCCGCAGTTTTTGCAGCTGCTGCTGTGCCCCTGCACCCCCTCCCCGGACACTCCCGACTGGTGTGAGCAGCCCCCTTTTGTCTTAGTAAGGAAAAACTGCTTCTTGGGGAAACCTGTGCTTTCAAAATACATCCTTATATTCCCGTATTATTTTCACTGCAAGTATGTATGTAGCAAAACACAGTGCGTGTATATACATATGTGTGTGTTTATATATACAGGATGTCCAAAAAATGTACACAAGCTTTGAATAATTATTATTTCCAATGGATTACATCTGAAAAGAAAAGAACACCAATTGAGCTATTAGCTGTTAGTCATGTATACATTTTGGGGGGACACCCTGTATATATACATGCTGTACCCAGCAAAATCATACACATATAAATATATATGTGACTCTTCCTAACCTTTCTATGTTTGCTTGTGTTCATACCAGGGAGATGAGAGGAGGTGGAGAGAGAGCTCCAGGTGAACACCAGGTCTCCGTTTTTATTCCTCCACAGATTTTCATTATAGCACAGTGCTTGGGCATAAAGGGAACTTTGCTCATTTTAACTGAGTAATATGTCCAGGTGTTCACACTCAGCTTTACACTAAATGAATGCTGTGAGACCTTGATCATAAAAAGTAAAAATCATATATAACAAATATATTGATTGAAAACATGTAATGTATTAACCAATATCATCCTGATAAATTCAATTAAAAATATAATAATAAAAACAATAATACCTGCAATATAATGTAAAGGCAAAAGATATGTTCATGGAAAAGTAAATTACTGTAAAGTAGTGTAAGTTTCTCGGTAATAAATAAAGCCCCCGTGTTATTTATGTCTATGAAGAAAAAGTAATTGCATTAGAACGTGTATTCATGAAGCTGGTTGAGGTAAACACTTACATAAAGATTTTCCTGGATACAACTTTGCCTGGGGGTAACCGGGGATCATTTTTTCATCTCTGGCTCTAAGATTTTCAAGTTCATGTTTGATAATGAATTGACGTTCTGCCATTGTGAGGAAATCATCATTGTTATCTAAAATAAAGCAAAAAATCTCGTTATTTTTCTCCATAATAGCCAAAATAAAGTTAATAATATTCAAATAACCTGGGGTTGTGAAAATAATGATATACACAATAACTGACTAACATAAGGAGTAAGCAAAATAGAAAAGTGGTAAATTTAACAAAATATAAAGCTTCTTATATTGCTTTTGCCTTACAATAGCAGTGTTGAATAATCGTGATTTGTATGACCCACACAGCCTCAAATATTTCTGTATACACTTTGCTAAAAAAAGTTTGCTGACCCCTGATCTATTCATCAAAAAAATTCTCTTTGATAAAGTAATTTCAATAGCAATCATCCCAGGACTTACCATCAAATTCTTTGAAGTTGTGTCGGGTTCCGTAGGTAAAGGCTCGCATGGTGTTATCGTTGCACTCCTTTACCAATCCCACTGCTTCTGCCCCCAGCAGCAATCTAATATTGGAGGCACCAACAAGATATAAGTTCTGGTTCTCCACTGTTTCTTTCTCGTATTTATTTAACAGCGGTCTAAACAACAGCTGGGCTCCTTTGAAAACAAAAGGTAGGCACAACCTTAGAAAGAGACAAACATAAAAGTTTCACAGAGGAAAACTTTCTAAATAAATATGATGTCTCTAGTTTGGTAGAAAGAAAATAAATTATATTAACAATTTAAATCCATTTTCCAAATAAATAGGAAAGATAAGTAAGTTGGAGATGGCAGGTTCTTTATAGCTTTTTGAAATAAAAGTCAAAACTGGAAAATGCAATAATAAGTGGCTTGTCGGTTACTCAAACTAGAAATAAATATGAGACAAGAATTCAATATTCACTAGTTCGATATCTAAATTTGTACTAATTATAAAGGATAGAGATATAGTTTCTAATATAAAAAAATAACAGATCAGAATTTAAGAAAATTAATTTGAAATAAAATATCCTAGTAAAAATGCCTCAAATGTTACACAATTACATTGAACTATAATAGATTGTGTGAATGTTAAATATCAAATAAATAGTTTTCAATGACTTTTCCCATTAAGTCTACAGTTGATTGAATTTAATGATAGTTTTCTTTAGTAGGTTTCCAAAAGTTAAGAGTAGCTGTTAAGCCCAGTTAATGTGGCTCAGGGGTTGAGCATTGACCTATGAACCAGGAGGTCACAGTTCGATTCCTGGTCAGGGCACATGCCCGGGTTGTGGGCTTGATCCCCAGTGTGGAGCGTGCAGGAGGCAGCTGATCAATGATTTTCTCTCATCATTGAGTTTCTATCTCTCTCTCCCTCTTCCTTCCTTTCTGAAATAATAAAGACCAAAGAAACAACATTAATTTTAGAAATATATCTATAAAAAATTGTAAAACACACTTGAAAAAAATTTTAGTCACTGAGCATGAGTAAGTCTGAATACTATTTCTTTTACTCACCTCCATCTTTCTTTTTCATGGTAATTCTGTTTTTCAGCCATTCCTTGGTTTCATCTTTGACATCTTTAGCAAGTTCTATGACTACCAGAGGCGTGAAGGAACTCTCAAAAGTATCCAGAGCTGATAAGGTCACTTTCATCTTTGACAAACTTGCTGAAAATTAAAATAAAATAAAAGGCACACATGGGATGTAATGGCAAAGAGAAACATATAAATTGTATTTGCATTTTCTCTTTGTTAGACCTAATTCTGACTTTTAAGATAAAGCAAAATTTTTCATGATCCAGCTGGGTTATATGACCGCTTAACCAATGGTTCAAGCACACGTGTGAGCCAGGCCCTCTACAAAGATGAGGGAACACCATCTATTTCCGTAAGCAGCTCAGAATCCAATAGGGAAGACATTCAGGTAACAGAAAAGGAACAGTATAAAATGCACAGGCGGTATTAGAAACTATTTATAAAGAACATGACAGCAGAACAGGATTTAGAAAAATATATGAGTTTGCCACACAGACAATCGAAGGCATCCTAAGTAGAGAAAGCTGTATTGCCCTACAAAATAATAATGAAAAATAGTCCACCAGTGTGGCTCAGGGATTGAGCACTAACCTATGAACCAAGAAATCACCGGTTCAATTCCCAGTCAGAACACATGCCCAGGTTGTGGGCTGGGCACTACAAGAGGCAGCTGATCGATGTTTCTCTCTATCCCTCTCCCTTTCTTTCTTAGAAAAAAAAAATCAATAAAAATAATTTTTTTAAGTTCATTCATTCAATATTTTTACAAGAAAATAAAATAATGAAAACTAGCCAAGACTCAGAAAAGGTGCATTATCTGTGTGAAGGGTGGAGGGAGGACGGGAAAGAGCTCGTAACTAACAAGGACACATGATTACAGAGGAACTGGGCCTTGTGCAATATATGTTGGGAGTCACTCATTTGTTATGAGAAGGGAACTGACACAGTCCAATTTCATGTTTCGGTATAGAGTTGATCTCCCAGCATCAGCTTTCTCTGTTACCTTGATCTCTGTTTCCAAGCTTGAAAAATAAAAGTCAACTGGAGACCCCCAAATGCTATCAGTCACTAAGGCCCAGTGGCCTCTCTAAAATATTTCTCATATGAATCTCTCTGACCCAGCGATTCTCAGGGGGCGATCTTCAGACTGGAGACTTACTTATTCTAACTTTGAACTTGGAGTAAGTTTGTATGACTCCAAAGGGCAAGTATAAATCAGTTTTCTAGAACAATCACAAAAGGAGTGACCAACACCATAGAATGCCTTTCCTTTCTTTGGGGGAAATCTTGCAGCAAGCTGACCAGGTTGTCTAGCTTGGACTCATAAGCTTTGTTTGGTTTTTTTTTCTAACAGAGCATAAGTTTTGTTTGGGCAACACAGGTACTATAAATCAATGTTATTTTCAAATTATACTACAATGTATCAGGAATACTATCAAAGATACCAACCAAATCAAAAGTCAACACATGAGGCTCTATAAAGGAAACCAGATAAAAATAGGACCTAGTACTCACCTCCAAACAGCTAATGATATAGTCAGGATTTATACAGATGGCAGTTAGAGCTATGGAACTCAGAACACTTAATGTGTAGAAGTTTTGGATCAAGCAAAGGGAGAAGCTATGCTATACAGGGGAATAACATGTATAAATCAATTAAGTGAGAATCAGGACAGTGTAGATTTAAGAATACTTAATGCTTGTCACCTGACCCAACGGCCAGTAGGAGTCACTGTCGGTTTCTGAGCAGAGGACAAACTAGGTGTCAGAGTGATAGGATTCCCAATAGGTAAACTTAGGGAGCAAGGATATGGGTGATCTTCCTGGTATTCTTTCAACTCCCCTGAACTTCTGGAATCTTTGATTTAAAAAAAAAAATGTTGGGGGAAAATGTTACTCTACCAGTAGACTATGAGATAAGCATCACCATCTTTTAAATGAAAATATCAAACACAACCACCATGAATCACGTGCTTACTGTGAACCAAGCTGTGATAGTCTGGAAAGCACAAAATAAATAAAGTCTCCATCTTACTTTTGAGGAGCTCCCAGTCTAATAGCAGAAGCATCAAATCGTCCTGACACCTGGGCTAAGTACCTCAGCAATAACCTGGGCCAGCCCTGCCCCCAATTGGCCTCCTGAGGTGGGGAACAAACTTTCTGGGAAGGAAGGAAGGGAGCTAGACAACCCACAACCTGGGAAGATAAATGGATGGCTCCCGGGTTCCTAACCAAAGACATGGAAAGAATAACTGTGCGTGAACAAACAGCAGCGATGAAAAGACTGGTTAGGTGAAGGGAACAAGGAATTGGTCAGCAGGACATATGTGCATGGCATCAAAGGTCAAAGTATGCACTGGTATGTAATAGAAGGCCTACCTCGTAATTGCTGGGTCATAAGACAATCTTTCTGAGATATGAAAAGCAGGTTTCATTTTTAAACGTATATATGAATACTATTTACAAACTCATAGTAAATATTTGCTCATTGATTTATTCTCATTTGAGATACAATCTCCCTTTTATTCCTCAAGGCATTCTTTTTTCATTAGAGCATTTTAATTGTGCCTAATGTTCAAATTCTAGACCAGAAGGAGAATGAGAGAGAGAGATGATCCAAAGATGCTAGATATATATTAAGCTGGAAATGCAACATTTGGCAAATAACTTGAGAAGTTAGGCACTACATAGTTTTTTTTCTCCTATATGTATAATGTGTACATACATATATATATTCTATATAATAAAAGACTAATATGAAATTGTCCCCTTGACCAGGAGTTCGATCAGAGGGCGGGGCCAGCCAACCACCTACAGCCCCTCCCCTCAGCCAGCCCCGCCCCAAATCGGTCTTCTCCCCCTCCCCCTTTCCGATTGCCCCTCCCCACCCCATCAGGGCAGGCCAGCCTGACTCTAGTATATAATATAAAAACAACATATCCTAAATGCACTAATTTGAAAGAATATAATTTGAAAGACTATATGCATCCCTATGTTTATTGCAGAGGCACAACCTTAGTAGGATTTTCAGTACATTACAGACAAAAGTGTCACAATACGTGATTTACAAAGAGTTCTTACAAATTCAACAACAACAAAATTCAAAAACACTGCTGATACTGGTTTGGCTCAGTGGTGGAGCGTCAGTCTGCGGACTGAAAGGTCCCAGGTTCGATTCTGGTTGGGGGCGTGTGCCTTGGTTGCGGGGCACATCCCCGGTAGGGGGTGTGCAAGAGGCAGCTGGTCGATGTTTCTCTCTCATCTACGTTTCTGGCTCTCTATCTCTCTCTCCCTTCTTCTCTGTGAAAAATCAATAAAATATATATATTTTTTAAAATTCAAAAACACTGAAAGCACGTCACCAAAGAAGAAATACAAGTGGCTGACACACATTTAAAAGGATGCTCAATTTTACTAGCAAAAGAAAAGCAAGAGTGACAACAAGATACTTTTCCCTTCTCAGATTTGCTGAGGTTGAAAGACAAAGGGAACCCAGTGGCAGGAAACCAGGCCTCTCCCCACATTGATGACAGAGATAATATGTGCCATTCATCGGGCCACAGTGTACTGACAGTCCGGGTTACCTAAGAGGCAGGAATCCTCTTACACCACCCATGCTCTCTTTTCCTGCCCCTGCAGCCCTGAGCTCTGCTTCCTGCGCCTTCTGCTCAGGAAAGCTGTCCCCGTCCAGTCAGTCACACCGCTGGGGATGCCCTCTCCTCGGGAGACCTCTGCCCCTCTCTGTGCCGGGCATGCACAGGAGGCAGGCAAGGCAGACCTGTCCTCTGCAGTCCGCTGGCCAGCGGCATCCGGGCCTGCTGGAATCCCACTTCTCCCCAGGGATGTGAATACCAAGGGTTCGATGTTGGGGGTAAGAAGCCTCGTGGCACACTGGTCTAGGCTGAGTTCTGCGATCTCCTTTCACCAGAGGGGCTTATGGGAGCTTGTTCACCGGCACTGTGCACACCAGGTGAGTACGTGGGACCAGAATACCAGATGGGGGCACATGAGGGCTTTCAGTGTGGGTGCAGAAAAAGGTTCCAGTTAGGGCCTATCGAAACAAGCATATTCAACGTATACAGACGTCTTGGGCCTGGAGGGAGAATGCTTTCCACTCCCACAGCCAATGTCCCCTTTTCCCAGACTGTCAGCCAGAAGGCAGCCAGCAATGACTACGGCATGGAGCGACGGGTTCCACCCAGGCCTTGGGCACAGGCCCAGCAGATAGCCACCCCACCCCCTGTCCTTCTTTAGCACGTGTACAGCTGCACCCAGGGCCGAGAACGCTACAAAGGTGTGGGATTACTGATCTGTGTGTCTTTTACATTAGCTCCTGGGATCATTTGACTACTACAGTAAGAGGTGAATCCTGACCATGGGGACTGAAACACAGGAAGAGAAACCCACTGTGAGTTCAACCGTGTGTGTGTATGTGTGTGTGTGGGGGGGGGAGCGTATATGCATATTTTATCAATGAACAAAAAATAACAGTGGGCCCTTTACTCTCTTCCTGAGTCTGGGTAAAGGGGGGAAAAAAAATAAGTGGAATTTATCAGAAATCCAAAGGCCAATAAGAAAATGCACAAGGCTGTCTTTAGGAATCAACTTGTTTCAGACCCAAGGAGAAGCGTGAAATACAATTACAAAACCACTCCGTCAGGAAGCAGAATGGAGCACGTCCGTGAGAGGAAAGGGAAGGGCCGCACTGAGGGAGCACGAGGACCAGAGGGCTTCCATCCTAGTGGCCAGGGTGAGAAGTGGGACAGGACTCCCCCAGAGACAACCCAGCCGCATCCTCTTACACCTCCCAGAGGCAGGTAAGTATGAGAGCAAGTGTGGGACACGCCCTCCTTGGGATGTAGGGCAGCCGCCTCTCGGTTATGTAGATAGGCTGATAGTGGAGTGAACAGTCAGCACCACACACACCCTCCCTCCCTCAATCAAGTTTCTCAGAGACACGGACAGTGTAGGGAGCCTGGTGAGGCCCATTCCCTGAGGAACGTAGGTGGGAACCTCGTGACCTCAGGACTCAACAGGAAGTTGGAGGAGATGAGACGGGGCACACTGAAGACAGCCTGGCCACAGCGGCCCGGACCTGACTGCACGCTGCACAGTCAC